TTTCGAAATTGAGATAAATGCATGGGAAGATAGCCCGTCATCTGCTCTTTCATAAACGATAATTTGTTTTTCTCGTTACTTCATTTTTCCCCAAAAATTTTCAAGATTTCCGTCAACCCCTATTCGAAAAACCAGCTGTTTTTTGAAAAATCAAAAAATGTTTTTCGTTTTTTCTCGGTTTATGGTTTTTTTGATCTTTTGTCCAAGATTTCTCGGTTCAGGCTCTGTCAATATATTTAAATTTTTTTTTTGTTTGAAAGAGCGCGTCGAGATGCAGGGCACTACAGAGTCCTTTTTTTAATTAAGCTTTGTTTTTTATTATATATACAGACACTTATGTGACTGGACACCCATTTTTGGCGCCTTTTTTGAGTCATTGAACTTGCGAGCCCCTTTCTCCGCGAAAAAAGTAAGACTTAAAAAAAAAAGGACTCTGTGGTGCCCTGCATCCTGAGATGCTCTTTCAAACAAAAAAAAAATTTAAATATATTGACAGAGCCCGGACCGAGAAATCTTGGACAGAAAATGAGCTATTTTTGACCCTTGTTTGGTTCATATCTCTGTCAAACATCAGGGTATCGAGCTGAAAATTTTACCACAGCCTCCCCACTTCAGCCCCAACATATGCTCCGAATTTCAGCCCATTTGAACGTACCTGGACTAAGATCGATTTTTGAGGGGGGGGGGCCTTAATTGAAGGACAACATTTTTTTATTCATCTTGAATCGACCAGATGATACACTTGGTAAAATAAAATGCTGTTGTGGTAAAATAATATCATTAGCTCTCAGACGTGGAAAATTTCAAATATCAAATTTCTATCGTCACTTACAAGGTTCACGAAGTGGTATAACTTGCAAAACTTTAAAAGAAATAATAAAAAACCAACAGCTATCAGTACCACATGAAATAAATAATCAACAATCATCCTCAATTTCAAATGCGTCATCAGATTAGGCATCATCATCATTTTTAACATCCATATTATCATCAAGTTGCGCACCATCGACTGCTGAACCAATTACAATACCATCTATATCAACAAGTACCTTGTCATCATCTATTACAATATCATCACATGATTGTGATTTACGTAAAGAATAACCAACAGCATTATCCACAACGAAGAAGCTGAAAAGAAATATTTACACTGATGAATCATCAATTGATACAAGAAAAAAAGCAAAAAAATGAGAAGATAATGTTTATATTGAAAGAATTTTTTCATACTCTTCTCATATTGCTTTTTTTGATCATTTGCCATTAAGAAACTGTTTTTTTAATTTTATTTCTTATCAATAGATTTATTTATTGCGTTTCTACATATTTTAATTATTGAAAAATCACAAGCTTTATTTTTTATTTTTGTTTTTATTGTAACACTTCTCATTTTTAATTCATTATAAAAATAAAATATAAGTTATTAACAGTAGTCGTATAATATTTTTTTAAAGTACAAGATGAAAAAAAAACTATATGCGTCGCTTGTGTATATGTTCAAATAACATTTTAGTAATATTCTAGCGATTCATTTTTCTGTAATACTACATTGAATGAAAAATATTCGCATGATAAAATAGACTAAAAGAAATTAAATAATTTTTCTATTCTGAAGATCGTTAGAAAATATTGGATCCTTGGAATCCCGGAATCTGCCGTTTCCCCCTTGAATTACCTTCTGTTTTATTTATTTTATTTTGTGTATTTAATGTATCATATATACAAGTCTTATTGTATTCTATTATATATTCTATCATTTATTGATTTAATTTGAACTTTAATACGCAGCAATATACAAGATCATATTGATACCAATGATGGGTCGGTGTGACTCGAGAGATCTATGAAAAAGAAAATTTCGAATTATGATATAATTCATAGAAATTACCTTCCATTTAATTTATGCTGTTTTGTCTATTTAATATATGATATATAGACACCCTATTATACGATATTATATATTCTATCATTTATTGATTTAATTTGAAGCTTAATGGGCAAAACAATACAACATCATACTTATACTGATGATGGCTGGCTACGACTGGAAAGGTCTATGAAAAGAAAATTTCCAATTATTATGCAATTAATAGAAGTTACCTTGTGTTTTTTAGTGTACTCAAAAAGTGAGTACACTACTAGAATCGGTCCGTATGTCCGGCCGGCCGGCCGGCCGTCCAGCCGTTAACACGATAACTTTCGAAAGGAGAGTCCGATCACGATGAAATTTTCTACACAGTTCAGTCTTTACAATATCTCGGTCGAGTTCGAAGATGAGAAGGATCCGTCAAGAAATGGCTGAGTTATCGAAAAAATTGTGATTTTTGACCAGACCATCCCTGAGGGGGGGTACGGGGATTTTTCGAAAAAAAAATTTTTTGCTCATAATTATTCACAAAATACATAAATCGACTCAGTTTTTAACGCTGATTCTGAGTCTGATATTAGTTTTGAACCGAATCATAGTTTTGTGTACTCAAAAAGTGAGTACACTATATAGAATAGTCAGTGCGTTCGTCTGTCCGGTTGGCTGTTTACATGATAACTTTTGACAGCAGAGTCAGATTGCGATGAAACTTTCTACACAGCTTAGTCTTGACAATATCTCGGTCGAGTTCGTAGATGAGAAGAACCGGCCGAGCCATTCCTGAGTTATTGAAAAAATACCTACTTTTCCCTATAGCCTTCTGTGGAAAAATGGACCCATCGGGACTTTCGTAAAAGACTTTTCCTATCATAGTCAATTAAAATCCCAACTATTATATACCATTCGATAGAGAATTTCAAGAGCTACAAAATGATATATAAAACAGAAAGAAGCAAGAAGACTGACTCATCTATCACAAGGATAATTAAAGAGAACTAGGTTATATTTTGGTCCACGATCTAATTGATCCATAAACAGAGCTGTATCTTCTGATCACATTGATGATACTTCGAGGTTTTCAGAGATGGAGAACTCGAATGTGTACTGCACTTCCATCGAAATACTATTGGTTGTGCAGTGACCAATGGAAATCAAGTTATAGGAAAAACGCCTTTGTTAGGGTAAATCAAGGAAAAGAGTTCAAACTTGAGCTGTATTCGGTCCCATGTCCTATTGGTTTGGCAACGCGCAATAGAAATCAACATTTTAAATGGTAGGTTCCCCAGTATAATTTTGATGTTGAGATATTCTAGGATGACTGATTCGTATGATTCACTTTTTGAAGTACACATAACTTTCGGATTTAAATCCGAAGTTTCCGCATTTATTTTATTTTATTTTGTATATTTAATGTATCATGTATACAAGGCTTATTGTATTATATTATATATTGTATTATTTATCGATTTAATTTGAACTTTAATACCCAAAAATATAAAACATCATATTGATACCGATGATGGGTCGATACGACTCGAAAGGTCTGTTAAGAAGACAATTCCTAACTAGTATATAATTAATAGAAGTTACCTTGAGTTTTATTTATTTTATTTTATGTATTTAATGTATCATTTATACAAGTCTTACTGTATTCTATTATATATTCTATCATTTATTGATTTAATTTGACGTTTAATAAGTAAAAATCTGCGACATCATACTGATACTGATTATCGGTCGGTGAGAGTCGGAAGGTCTATAAAAAAAAGTTCGAACTATTATATAATTCATAGAAATTACCTTCTGTTTTATTTTTTTATTTTGTGTATTTAATATATGATTTATTGCAGGCTGGAGAAACAATTCCGTGTAATACTGTAGCACTTTTGATTATTTTTTTTTCAATGCAGCCCAAATGGTGAGATTCTAAGTAATATTTTCCTTTCGAGGGATGCTCTGTGCTTTTTCTGTTGGCTTCAGGTTCTAAAATTTTAATAAATAGATAAATTAATGGGAGAATTCTTTTTTTAACGACTTGCATGAAGAAATTGCGAGTAACATATTATCAAGCGCGATGATTGTTTTACCATGTGCTTCGGGTCATATTATTCTCAATAATAGGTAACTGGGGACTATTTTTTTTCTATTTTGTTTTACTCAAGGTGAAATAACCTTGATCCGTGAAATCGTTTCTTTGTTCCATCTTCATAGTTAAAAAAATTCCAATAAAACTTTGACCAATTCGATAATTTGTAATATATTACAGTTCTTGATATGCGAAACCAGGTTTTATTCAGTACGGTGATGTTGTTTGACATTTGTCAGAATTTTTGAAGTAATAGTGAAGTATATAGAACAATTTCTTTTTAATCCGTTCCGATGGTAAAGTTCGGAATAATAGTATATCACTTTTGATCGTTGATTTTCAGTGCAGCTCAGGTGATAATATTCTTGAAAATATGTGATTGAGTATAATTTTTTTATTCCATTTATATTTTAAATTTGAAACAATAGGTTAATCCTGAAAATAAATCCTTGTTAATCCAGTTAGGTGAAACATTTGGTATCATAGTTAAACAATTTTGATGATTGATTTTCAATGGAGTCCAGCTCATAAGATTCGAAGTGATATTTTTGTAGTACGCTGTCCTCTTTTTTTCTGCTTCAAGTGCTAAAATTCTAATAAATACATACGTTAGTAGAACAATTCTTTTTTTCAGCGACTTACATGAAGACATTGCGAACAAAACACTGTCCAACACGATGATTTATTTTCAATCCATCTTGAATCATAATATATTCAATAAAATGTGATACTGTGTAATTCTTTCTATTCTATTTTGGAGTATAAATTTCAAATAAATTTTTAATGGTTAGAATAAATTCGTTTTAATCCAGTTGAGTGAGAACATTCCGAATAATGGTTTATGCCTTTGGCTGTTTCATTTTCAATGAATTCGGGTTAATAATTTGGTAGATAATGTGTTATTGACAACAATGTTGCCATTTTAATCCAGTTGAGCTGGTAAAATCCTAAATCTTACGTAAAGTAATAAAAGAATTGCTTTAAATTGATCTAAGTGAAGAAGTTATGAATAAAACTTTAATATCCAATTTGGGTCATAATATACTCAATAATATGTGATTGCGTACGATGTTTTTTTTTCCATTTTGGGTTATAAATTTGAAATAATGTTTTAATTGAAAGAATAATTTCCTTCAACTTCAGTTTCATGAAAAAGTTCCTAATAACAGTTTAAGCCTTTATTGATTGCTTTTCAATGCATATCATTTCACTATATTCTAAGTATTGTTTGATTGAATACAACGATGCTTTCATTCCATTTTGTGTTTGAAAGTAGGAATAATAATTTAACCCTTTTGATCATTAATTTTCAATGCATCCCAGATCATAATGTTTTAAATATTGTGTTTATTGAGTATGCTGTTGTCTTTTTGATCCGTTTCAGATGGTAAAGTTCAAAAAATACCTAAAGTAGCAAAAGAATTATTTTTAAATTAACTTTGGTGAATTAAGGGTAAATAAAACGTTACCGTTCACGATAATTCATTTCTCATTCACCTTGGGACATAATGTACTCAATAATAGGTGATTACGTACGATTATTTTTCATTCTTTTTTGGATTTTAATGTTTAAATAATAATTTAATGATTGAATGTTATGTTTTTTTCTATCTAGTTTGCTTACATGTTGAGAATTATAGTGTGAGACTTTTGATGGTTGATTTTCGATGCATGTCAGGGCATAATATTCCAAAGAATTCTTTCATGAGTGCGAGGATTTGTTTTTATCCAACTGTGAATAATGAAAGTGGAAATAATATTTTGATAAGTACGTTAGCTGCGTTATGATCCACTACATGTCATTGAATCCGAAACTATCGGTTTGTTTCTACGTTCATTGCGTTTTAGTCTACATTCTTCAATTAAATTTGAAATGATACTTCTGAAGCACGATGATCTATTATTAATGGACTTCTAGTGATGTGTCTTTAAAAGGAGATTCTATAATATCATGATAATGCTGAATAGACTTTTGTTCATAGGATTATAAATAATCCCACTAAAGTGCGATGATAACATCTGGTTCGACATCGTGTCATACAATTTCAAATAATACTTCGCAATCATGATTATAGTTATTAATTCACTTTTGGTCATAAGATATCAATCAATGCTTCTCAACTGTGACTGTTAGAGCTTATCTCAAATTGTATCACGAAATGCGGATTATTTTTTCCACTAGTACGATGATTCTTTTTTAATTCGCTTCGGGTCGTGAAATCTGAAATAATAGATGTATCACTATTATGATTATATTTTACTTATGGTTGAGTAATGAAACGATAATTTGCGTAGGCGATTTTTTTTCTGTATGTGCGCATCGATTAAGCTTCTCGAACAGCGAGGTAGAGAACAAGCAAAATAATAGTAGATATTGGTATAGAAAAAGCTTGATTGGAGAAGAAAATTCGTGTTAAAAACACGTTGGTGAGCAAAAAAATCAACGTACTTTTTTCAACTTCGTCCGCAGATTCTTCATGTATACGGATCAATGCACAGCGATCAAGCAGATTTCTGGATGTATATAAAGGGATGCTTTTGCATTAATATTTCACACTTTAACAATATCTTTACTATAAAGCATCATTTGCATCGTCGTAGACACAGCCAAAGT